GATTGGGGAGCTCCCTCCTATCAGGCACAGAGCAGGGCTGATCAGGGGGTTGGGGCGCTGCCCCCTGTCACTCACAGAGCAGGGCCAATCAGGGGGGTTGGGGCTCCATACCCTGTCACGCACAGAGCAGGGTTGATCAGGGGGTTGGGGAGCTCCCCCCTATCAGGCACAGAGGAGGGCTGATCAGGGGGTTGGGGTGCCTTCCCCTGTCACGAACAGAGCAGGGTGGATAGGGAGGTTGTGGCCCCGCCCCCTGTCACTCACAGAGCCACAGGGCGATCAGGGGGTTTGGGCGCTGCCCCCTGTCATGCTGATCCCGGTGCCGGGAGCCTCGCTGCTCCGCTGATCCCGGTGCTGGGAGGCCTATTACCCTTTTACTATATAGGATAGAGGCCTGGTGCATGGGTAGGGGCTGGCTGGTTTGCCCTGAAGGGTGTCCTGGATCAGGGTGGGGGTCCCCACTGGGGTGCCTGGCCAGTCTGGGTGAGGGGCTGAGGGCTGTTTTCCGGCTGGCGAGTGACTAAAGCTTCCAACCGCTCCTTGTTTTCTTCTCTTTTTTTTTTTTTTTTCTGGGCCAGCTTTAGCTCTGAGGCCTCGCTGCTGAAAACATAGATACAATGTTGCGGTCCGAGCCCGGCTGAATGGAAGCCCTTTTCTGGGGTTTTGTTTAGCTTCTTATTTGCAACATAGTATATAGTTGCTTAGACTTGCAGATGAGAGGCTGGCAAGTGAGGCGGGGAACGTTGGAGTCCGCAGTCACTGCAGCAAGCAAGCCTCATGCTCGCTTCAGTGCCTGGCTGCCGGCCGCCATCTTGGCTGACAGTTAATTTGCATATACTCACTGATTAGCCAATGAAAAGGGTAGCGGTTGTACGCTAATTACCATGTTTCTCTTTTATTAGTGTAGATGAGCTCGTACTAACAGGATTCATAAATGTGGAAGAGACACATCACCCATGCAGAATTCCAAATAATTCATGAACATAACTCCCACTCACAAGTGGGCTGCACAGGGTGACTTTCCCCCAAAGACGACAGTATAGAATGGGTGATAAGTACCCTTATAGTGGATACACCTGATAGAACAAGTCAGTCAGTGATCAAAGCTAACGTCAACAGTGATAAACCACGTGACAGCATGTGCCCCAGACAGGATGTTATGTAAATGGCACTTAACCTCTATGGTCTTCCTCCCAAAAACCTATAACCCCAGTATAACCATGAGAAAGACATCACACAAACCACAACAGAGAGGCATCCTACAAATATCTAACCAGTATTTCTTAAAACTGTCAAGGTCTTCAAAAACAGGGGCAGTTTAAGAAACTGCCACAGTCAAGAGATGATGATGACCACGTTACATGGTCCCTGAATGGGATACTGGAACAGAAAAAAGACATTAGGTAAAACCGAAGGAAATGTAAATAATGCATGGACCTTAGTTAATAATAACATGTCAATACTGGTTCATTAATTATAACAAATGTACCAGACTAATAATGTAAATGTTAATACAAGGGTATGGTTTTATGGAAACTCTGTGCCATCTTTGCCAAATTTTCCATAAATCTAAAACTTTTAAAAAGTAGTCTATTAAAACAAAAAAATATCTACCACATATATCTACAAAAGTGGCATAGGTGTTAATATATTTCATTATCTCTCTTACCATAAAAATCTATCCTGACAAACTTTCAAATTTATTTCTCAAATTAAGCCCACCTGCAAGAAAAGCATTAACATGGAAAGAAAATTTTTCATGTTTTTCTAATTTTCTTTTCTGATGAAACTACTCTCCTGAAAAACGGTACTGGTAACAAGAATCAACATAAACGTAAAATATACATCGTTTTTGCTTCATACTACCGGCAATGTTTAGGAGACTATTATCTCAACTGTAAAAGGGCAGGAAAAACGCAAATGTTAACAAAGTGGAATTGCTGGTGGTCTTTCAATAATCATTAATTTAATGAGCAAACACTGCACTTGCTGAAGGGGTGCCATGAACCCCGCCGTCCGCGGATCCCAGCGTAGTGGGCCCCATGCCCGCCCCGCGGGCACCGCT